AAAAAAAAAAAAAAGGTAATTTCTTAATTTAAAAAGATCTGCAAAAATCCTCCTGTTCTTTATTAACACACTCTTCCTTTAAAATGAAAACACCCCATTTTAGTTTCTGACAAAGAGCAAATTGGAGGAGTTTTTCAGGCCCTCCCATCCAAAGACCCGGTGCCTCCTGTCATGGTTTGAGAACCCCAAAATCCAATTCCCTAGTCCAAACCCCCCCCCACAAGATCAGCACCAACAGCAGCTCGGTTTGGATTCTTGGCCCAAGAAAGACAAAGACCCAGTCTGGGACATATTTGAAATATCTTGACATTAAGTGTCATTATTCTGCTTTTTGCCAGGGCAGAACAAGCCCTCATCTGATGAGTGATGTGTCCAGGTAGGAAGTTTGATTTCTTTCTCAGGAATGAGGTGTGGAAGCGTCATTTAAAGTCTGGCAGGTCTTCAGATGCCACCTTTGACCTTGGCTACTCCGAAGCTCCCGCTGTTTAAATCTAAAGGTGCTGGTGTCCAGGGAAAGGAAATGTGTTCCCATCAACCTTTCATTAAAAAATGGAGAGCAAACTCAAAAAGGAAGCGTTCAGCAAACAAAAAGAGCTTTTCTAAGGAATTTAAAGAACTTCTTTGGTGGGTTGATGTGTCGCTGGTGAGCTCTCAGAGCTTGGAGTGGTGAGAGCCAAGAGCTTGGTTTTCCCTCTGCTTCCCCTCACGAGAGTTTCCTTCAGCACATGGCTCCTCTTCTGCCTTGTCTGAGAGAAGAACTTGTCTTCTGGAAAGATTTTTTCCTAATTATTATCATTACTGTTGTTATTTTAATCGTGCAGAGCTGCCAGCTCTAGGGAGTGACACCTTCCACTCAGCTGAGTCACGATGGGGATCCTTCCCAAAGGGACCTTTATCTGCTCTGCTTGTGTCATCTGTGCACACCAGGGCAAGATTTGAAGGGACTGAATATAATTCCAGGGATGTCAGAAAAATTGGAGCAGAATTTGACTGTCCTATGAATGACAAGTCTCAAGTTCTGCCAGGGGAGGCTCAGGTTGGACAGGAGGAGGAATTTCCTGCTGGAAAGGGTGGTCAGGCCTTGGCAGGGGCTGCCCAGGGAGGTTTGGAGTG